TTCTAATTGTTCTTATACGAAAGAAGCGATCATTTAATGCGAGTCCCATGCTTGGGGAACACAAGGATCCTTCTGCTGATTAACGCGTACGGCTGTCTTATACAAACACATATCCATTCGTATTCTGTGCAGGCTGCCTAATAAGCCCTTTCAAGAGATTATACGAACAAAGCTAGAGGTTCAGAAACGAGGTGTACGCTGAGGCACCAGAGATATTCTCCAGTCTTAAAAACAGGAGAGTTGGAAATGCTGTGAGAATACTTATGTTTTCCTCAAAGCTAAGTCAGGCGTCTCTTTTGATACAGCTTTTGAATTATAAACCAGCCTCTTACCCGCAAGAAAAAATTTGCTGCAAAGCAGTTGATTTATAAGTGACTGATAGCATAAAGAACAATTGAGCCATGAACACTTGATAACAGCCTTTCATTAATATCGCTGTTTCATACACATATGCAAACAAGCTTTTAAGAGTTTCTTTAAATTTGTCGTTGTGTCTAAATAATTCATAAATTTTACAGTGACCTTGCCTGTGTTTATGCTGCTGAGCGTGCTCTATTGGTTTTGATGCCGCGGTTTATGTGATGACTGTGCCTAGTTGGTATTCTCCTGCACGAACTGGAGACGCTTGCACATACCATTTTTTCAATGGCTCTTAGTTTTTCACTTTGGGTTTTACATTCATTTTTGTCGGTGCTGCCCGTTCTCTCCGTGAGGCCCCTTATTACGCATGGTGTCACGGAAACCATCGGCTATGAAAATCAGCCAACGTCTTTGCAATGCAGAATCAGAAGCAACGGACCTGTGATTGTTGACTGGTACAGAAATAACTCGAAGTTATCAGAATCTCTGGGCTATCGAATTGAATCTTCAAAATTATCTGATGACATTATAGTGAGCAATTTGTTTTTTCGGATTTCTCGGAAAACCGTTGGTGCTTACTATTGCAATTCATCCAATGACTTTGGTTGGGCCGTTTCTTCTCCGGCTAATGTATTTATTGCATTCATGGAGGAGGACTTCATTGTTGAACCCCAGTCAAAATCCGCTAGCGTCGGGGAAACTGTTATTTTGTTATGCCAGCCACCTATTGGATCGCCAAAATCGGTGGTTACATGGTACAAAGATGACAAAAAAGTCGAATCGTCTAATCGCATTCAGATAATGGATGGCACGAGTTTAAAAATCGAGAAAGTTACTTGTGCTGATGCAGGCGTTTATTCTTGTGTTGCAAAATCTTCCGCATTCGAAAAATCTATTAAAAAGGCTTACCTCCATGTTCACCAAAGGCCACTTTTCTTAGTAGCACCTGAAAGTCAAACGGTTCCAGTAAATGGTATTGCTGAATTTGCTTGTCGCGTTGCTGGTGAGCCTCCTCCGTCTCTGACTTGGCGCCGCGACCCAAATATTCCTGCCATATCAACTACCCGAGCTACACTTTTAGCAGATGGTTCGTTGAAACTCACGAATGTCCGATTGGAAGATGCTGGGGACTACGTTTGTCAAGCTAGCAACGATGGTGGGGTGGTAGAAGCCGTTGCTCGCCTCACAGTCACAAGCCCTCCTGGATTTATCGAAACGCCACCAGGGAACGCTGTTTTTCTTGAAGGCACTCGAGCTGAACTTGTTTGTCTAGCAACTGGATTGCCGGTTCCAGAAATTCGTTGGATTAATAGAAAAACATCAGAATATTACTTGAGTTGGATTGAATCGTCCTCGCAGAGGGTTACAGTAACCAAAACTGGATCATTGATATTTAATGCTGTTAGGATGTCGGATTCAGGAACGTACGAGTGTCGAGCTTCATCGCCAGCTGGATTCACTCGGACAGTTATTCATCTACTTATTCGCCCGAACCCTCATTTATTTCCCAGTCGTGTTGGGGTTGTCACGAAATCACCTGTCTATATCAATTCTTTAAAACACATTAATGAACTGAGATTGGTCTGTTCAGTCCCTAACTTATCAGAATTTTACGATTACATGGCATCTGGTTTGGGGAACACCACAGAAATTAATAGCCTTAATACTTTTGCTACTTTCAAAGGCTCTTGGTACAGAGACGGAGAGGAGATCACACTCTCCACCCCATCAAATGGTCGATATCACTTAGATGAAGAAAATGCACTTATTATCAATCCGGTCCATCAAAGCGATGTGGGCAATTATTCTTGTATGGTCCTTGGTTTGATGAACAAGCGTGTAACCTTTTGGTATATCCGGATACGCCCTATTTCACTTGATAGCCCGTTTAGCGTACCTGGCGTGGCGTCAGACGTTCCCCTTCCACCCTTTAACGTAAAGGTGTCAAGCGTGGGTGACACGTGGATTTCCTTGGCCTGGGATTACGTTTCTGGAAGGGATATTAACTCGGACGTGGCGTTTCAAGTCTTCTTCTTGCTGCAATTTCATAACTCGACTTACGTGCCCAGTCATCATGCCAAAACGTTCAATTCAGTACAGGTAGTAAAGCATCCCAGCCATGATGATGAACCTCCAGTTAGCTTTGGCGCTATCAATGATGGCCAATACTCAGTAGATGTTTGGAAAAGAGCCAGTCAATCGACTAAGGAAAAGCGGTTTCGCTTGACGGGTCTACTTCCTGATAGCGGGTACTGGATCGAAATTCGTGCGGCGAACTTGCATCTATGGAGTCGAGGAGCGCTTGTGAATCACATCGTTTATACTAAACAATCAAAGCCCACAATCCAGTCCTCTAATTCTCACTCTTTGGAGTCAAGTGAGATGGTAGAAGATTTTCAAGACCTTTCAACTCGCGTGAACTCTCTTGTGTTTCTCAGCATCGGTGCCCGTAGTCTGAGCGCCTCAGAAATGTTCATCAGTTGGACAATGCAAACAAGCAACAATGTTATCGAACTCGTAGATGGCTTTCAGATCACTGCAAAACCCGTGTTCATGTCTCGCTGCTCGGCTCGTGCAACTTCTTTTGTCAAAGACCTAGCAAATCCACCATCATTTGGAGCGAAACAACGTTCCCGATTTGGTTATGGCGACGCCATTACACCCACCATCGAGCAGGCCCATTGCAGCTTCAATAGTGAACAGCTGATCGAACGGTTTAGACAGGCCTCTGTAAATACGGCACAGGCTTCAAGTAGAAATACAGTGCCTGAAAAGTTGTTGATTGTTTCTCGTATCATCTCCAGAGAATCGCCTAACATAGGCGCGGTGATAGGTGGTCTTCATCCATTTACTTGCTACGAGGTCACCATTAAGGCGTTCAAAGATGATCAAACTTACGGAAGGATTTGGAGTCGCGAAACTCCGGCCGAATTGGTACTAAGTCTAGACTCGGCGCCCAGCGAAGCACCTCGGCTTATTTCCGCCCATTGGTTGAGTCGTGCTGTCCCCCAAAATGTGTTTAATCTCCCTTTCCCCGTTGGAAATGTCTCTCATTATTCCAACAATTACCAGATCACATCTACCGTAATTCGTTTAAAATGGGTGCCTCTGGATTTGCATTTTGCTCATGGAACTCTGATAGGATACTCTATTCACCTTATCGCCAATGATACCAACCATACACAATCTCAAAAAGTAAGTCAACTATCCAGCATTTTGTCGGAAAATGATTTTATGTGATTTTGGTGGTTGATTTTATTGACTTTTGTGATCTGACTGCGTCAGAAAGTGGCAAGGTACCGTTTAGCAAAAATCAAGCCATGATTCAGAATGAGGATTAATGGGTCCATTTTTTTTCTGGCGGTCGTCACTTATAACTTATTCACTTAACGAGCATCAGGGTTTGGTCATCGAATTCAGCGGTGTAAACATCTTTTCCTGCCTTTTAGGTTTCACCAGATGTT